TCATATATAAATATATATACATATGTACCTGCCTGTATTTAGACCTCCATAAATGCCCTTTGCTCCTAGTTCTTTCCTCTATTTCCTTTTACTTTTCTTTTGTCCCACTCTCATGCTCAGCCTTCACCTGGGTTTCAGTAATTCCCTCTAGGTTACATTGTCCTTGATCAAGCCCTACCAAGCCTCCTACACCCTCCTTGTGATCAATTTTAGATCACTTGTTGTTCCCTTGTCCCTGGGTTTAACACCCACTTCCTTTCCTCCCTACCTCCTCATCTCCCATGCTGCCCCCACTCCAACTGTTGATCCCATTTTCTCCTCCGGATTGTTTATCCATCCTATCTTATCTAGGTAGACATGCAGAGACAATAATATGCCAAAAACAAGACAGAGTAAAACACAGCAACAAAAGAGAACACAATAACAACAAAAAAGTCTATAAATAGTTCAAGGTCTGTTTGTTGACCTTTAGGAGTGTTTTCCTGTAGAGTCTAATGGGGTACCACGCCCTGCCCCACAGCTTATTTTTGGTATTCTCCGGGGGCTTTGCATCCCTTGCTATTCTGTTGCACACCCTTAAGTGTTTTACCTAGGTGTGGTGGGGTCAGATCGGGCACAATTCACACACTGTGTCGCCAGTGTTTGTCCCCTGTAGCGCTATGGGTCAGTAAGGGGCATCATGTCTCACTCATGCTGGGGTCGGTCCTATGATCCTGTCTGTACACTGGCTGATCTGAACAAGAATATTGTCCTCAAGGCTTGGTGGGCTAGGATGTGCTCTACTCTCTCTTCCTCCCCCTTCATTTGCTCCCGTGTGCTCTGATCAGACATGTCCCTCTCCCTGAGCTGCAGCTTCAGTGCTGTCCTCTGAAGTGAATTCTTCTGCAGAGAGGAGGCACTCTCCACATAGTTGGGATTGGGGTCTTTCCTGGTTTTAAACAATTCCAGTTTTGAAGCAACTTCCTAGGTTAGATGTCTATGAACTCTACCAACAACACGAAGGAAGCAAGGCTTTTGAGATACTTGTATTAACCTATGGCATCTACACTTTTGGTCAATGGCACCACAGCCATGGAGAGGGCGCCCTGACAGTCCCCTGGATTAGGGATTATCCATGTGATACAGTGCTGGAAAGTAGTTTGTGCTGGTAAACTGCCAGGTCACGGAGGTCACAGTGTGTTCACACCAAGAAATAGTTCACCCAGACAGTTAATGAAGGGCTATCTTATGTGCCTGCCCCAGGCTAGGAACTTCTGGTATAATGCTCATCAGAAACAGAACTGGTTCTTGTTCTCATGGTGCTTAGTCTAGGGAAGAGGACAAACACAAATCCAGAAATGGTAAGAAATGAAAGTGTAACTGAAAACTGGGAAAGGTGTTATCAAGAAAATCATTCCGTAGGCAATGGAGGTCTTTAAGTAGCATGTTCAGATCTGCATTTTGTAGTTTGATGAAATTACAGTGTAGTAAGGTAGTTAAGGCAGCAGAACTAAATTACTACATAGAAATGTGATATTAACATTCTTCCAATTCTTAATCATAGTACCAAGGAATTTTCAGTGATTATAAACCCAAGGCTAGTTTTAAGCTAGTTTTATCTATAAATCCAAGGCTACTGCCCAAGCCTTGGCTTAGTAAGCAAATACTAGGTCCAGGCAATGCTTAAGGAGCAAAACATCAGGCCTTTTGCTTTCCCGTCTTTTTCCCCTGGACCTGCAAGGCTTCAGAGGCTCGACTGTCAATATCATATCATTACCGCTGTCCAGTCATTTCAGAGGGGGAGAGAGACTCTGCTCACCTGATTATCAAGTTTTTGCTGCCGAAGTTTCACGGTCTCATCTTCAAAGGCACTGTTTTTGAAAAAATAACAAGGAGAAGGAATATAAAAAGCAGAAGCTTTTAAAAATCCTCTCAACTTCAGCTTGCTCATCTATCTACTACTTTGGGCTATTAGGAAGGCATTAATTTTGCCCTAGGGAAAGCATCAGATTTTAGATGCTGCCCACAAAGCGGCTGTGAGAGGACTGGCCATCTTCAATGCAACTCACTCCTCAGAAGAACGAAGAGCCTGAGACACCCAGCGGAGAAGAAAAGACGCAGAACACAGACCCGGCGCAGCGGGAGCGGTTTTCTTCTAAGCCCCAGATGGAGGACTCATTAGACACACTGCTAAGTGAAGACACATATCCTTTTATTCCTTCCTCAAAAATGACCTATGCGCTGATGTTTTGCCTCCTATCATGTTAGATTTGCATATTTGAGTGTTTGGTACATGAAAATCAAGATAGATAACCCTGCAGAAACAGCAATAAAAGTAATAGTTCCCTGAGGGTATGGAAAGGGGGGGGGAATGGGGAGGAGTTGATAGTATTGATGATTGTATAACCCCACCCAATGGGATTGAACAACAACTGCATGTGAATGTATATCAGATTGTGTAAGACATGTCAATAAAACTGCTATAAAATGCAAACCTAAAAAAGCCTTATGAACAGTATTTTCTCGCAATGTAAAGATGAAGAAACAGAGACTTACAGAAGGTTTAATCTTTGTAGGTTCCATACAGAAGACTTGTTCACAAGGTTAAAGAGCAGAAGCAGACCCCAATCTTCCACAGTCTAAGCTGCACCAACAACCGTACCTACGCTCTCTGTTAGAGCCACTTCTAGGAGCAGCATTTGACTAGACATAGGATCTTACTGATTTCTTTAAGATGTGCGCAAGTCACTTCACTTTCTCCTAAATCTGCCATTAATCAAGTTTGTTCTGACAGTCACCAACGAAGAATGTGAAGTATGCATGAACAGACCAGAGTTACCGCCTCTAGAAGACGGATGTGTTTGCTGGAACAAAAGAACGACAATAACAAAGACCGAATCTGACTAGTCTTCCATCGATAAGCCCAACTTTCTGAATATTTTCAAGTCTCTCGGAAGCCTTTCCTATTTTTGACAATTTCCTATTGTGGAGTTTTATTTTGTTGTGACCAGTTTTCCAGGAAATGATAAAGTATGAAACAAGTCAGGCAGTGAAAGGTTTCTTGTTTGGATTACTACTTTTTTCCCCCCCAGGAGCTTCATGTCAGAAAAACTGGAACTACAAGCTCCTGTTTGAAGAAGGCACATCCCACGACCACAAAGGGAAGCATGGCCGTGCTGTATTTGGAGCAACTACCCCAAAGCATCTCCCATGGCTTAATGTTTTACCACTACCCTGCTACATGTTTACAAGATATGAAACAGTGATGCCAATGGTTTGGGATTTGGACACCATCTTCAAAAATTCCTCTTGCCTAGCAACACGTACACAAGCTTAATCATGCCTTAAATCCAAATGTGGAGGGGCTTTGTGCTTCTTCAACAGCCCCCTGTATATTCCTTTATGTTTTAAAATTATTGGCTATTTAATCAATCATCCGTGTTCTCCCAGCTCAAAACAGGAATGAATGACCCAATGAGTGAATGAATACATGCACACAACTGCAAGATTTACTATACTCTGGGCTCCACTTTGTAGGCCCCTTAAGCTTCTCCTAAATATATTCCTGCTTTCCTTAACATTTGTATACCCATTCACCTATCTTTCACTCTTAGCTTCGTGACTACAGTGTTAGTATTTAGTGGGTATTAGAATAACTTGAAAGCATTCTATATGAAATGACTAACACACGCGCGCACACACACGAACATCATGTTGCAAAGAGTAACTTAAAGAAAAAAATCATTGTTATGCACCAGTATTGTCAGTTACTGCATGCTTTTCCTCCAACTCATTCTTCGCTTAATCAAACAGGATAACCACTTGCACTGAGGGGGGAAAATCACCCTCTCACTGAAGCCAAAACACCCTCAATAATGCTAAAACTTGCAACTGAAGTTCCTACACATTTTTCTTAAGGCTTCTAACAGAGAAGAAACCAGGTGTGTCTTCAATGGCTTAGCTAGACACCAATTAACTCCTTTCATCAAGCCTGGGCAAGTTCAACACACCAACTAAACCAATGGTATCATCAAGGCATCTTGACCTTACATAGAGGACACACCCATGTGATGTGGATCTGATGAAAAGTATAGGAGAAAGGAGGGCAGCTCCAGGAATCCTGGCACCCACAGAGCAGGGAAATTGAGATTTGGTCCCAACCAAGTGCAAGGAGGAAAGGGCAGCCTGAACCCAGTAAGGGGGGGAGGGGGGAAAGGGAGCTCCCGCTAACATTCTCCCGACAGCTATTTTCCTTTGGGTGCACTACTCTTGCTCAAGGTCAGGTATCACTGTTGGTGAGTGAGTCTGTACTTAGGTGCCAGCTCCCTCCAAGCACCCATACCTGGTGACCAGAGGAGCACGTTCCCCACTTCCTGAACATTGGCAGCAGAAACCCCTAACTCCAGATACCCAGAGACCAAATATGCATGCCTTCTCATCCCACTCACCCATCCGCCACACACACCCTGCCCATCAGACCAGCAGGAGTGTGTTCCCACCATGCCCCCTGCCCACCAGTCTGCCAAACAGCAGTCTGTTCTCACGCCCTCACCCACCGACCTGGTGAGCTGAGAACGGTTTCTGTGCCCCAGTCTGCACACCCACTCAGAGACAGGTGATGAGCAATCATTGATTCTTGCAAGACATGCCAATGGATCCTACGACAACTAGGCAAAATGGGAAGAAGTCGGGCAAACATCACCTTAACCAAGTGATAAACACCATCTGTGATGGGACAAACTGATGTCAGATGCCCTTAGACATGAAGCACGGATTCATATTGACGGTTCAAATGCCTGGGCTACTCCAGCCAGAGATGCAGAACCTCAGCTGCCCTGGGAGAAAGAAACAAACCCCAATGCAGGGAACCTCAGCAAATCCGTCTGGACTGCTCAAGATGTCAGTATCTGGAAGGACAACCGAACACAACAGAGCTGGAGAGCTGGCTTAGGTTAAAGTAAGGGAGATGGGAGCCAGATTAACATACAGACCTTGAACTGTGGATCACAATATACCCACAGTATAAATAAGATACTATGGGAGGTAGTTAGGGCAGCTGAATATGAACTAATGCTAAAGTTAAATGTCTCACATGTTATTGTGGTACACAGAATATTCCTTGGAGGACTGGAATAATGTGGGACAAGGAACAGGATAGTAGGCATGGGAGGGATGGGAGGAGTCACAATTTTCTAATGGTGCAAATGGTTAAGGTCTTGAAAGATTGGTCGTTCAAACTCACCAACAGGTGCCTCGCAAGACAAGCCTAGTGATCTGCTTCAGAAAAGTCAAAGCTCTGAGAACATTACAGAGTGATTTTATTCTGCACACACGGGGTCGCTGAGAGTCAGAAGCAATTTGAGGGCTGAATAACAACACTTCTCTCAGTGTCATGAGTTCATGGTCATATGAATAAATGGATAAATGGGAATGAAGGGCAGTGCTTGTTACAAAACATCCAATTAAAAAAGAAAAAAATGAAACAGTAAGAATAGAAAATCACCATTAGACAAAAATGTGACAAGAAACGGGAGTATCTTCATAGTCTCTGTGGGTTAGGCAATGGGCTGCTAACCACAAAGTCAGCAGTTCAAACCCACCTACCATTCCAAAGGAGAAACATGAAGTTGTCTGCTCCCCTAAAGACTTCACCTGGGGGACCCTATCTGGTTGTGAAGAATAGGAATTAACTTGGCGACATTGGGTATTTTATGTCTCCTCAAGTTAATTATTGATAACCAGAGGAAAGCTGTAACTTGACAGTGAAGAAACCAGGAAGGCACCACCTTAGCTAAGTAATTATGATTATCATCACCAGCCACAAGACATACCCGCATCATGCACCTCCCTTAGATGCTGCATCAAGAAGGACAAAGGGAGAGGAGCAAACAGTGGGACGAGTGATTGGAGGGGGGGAAACAGGGGGAAGGAGGGAGAGTGGGGAAAGGGAAGGGGGAGGGAGCCACAAGCCCAGGGACAAGGGAACAATAAGAGATCTAAAATCAATAGTGAAGAGGGCATAGAATGCATGGTAGGGTTCGATCAAATGCAATGTAGCTGAGAGGAATGATGGCCAAACATGATAATGAGACAGGAGGAAAGTAAAAGGAAATAAAGAAAAGAACTAGGAGGCAAAAGACATTGATAGAGATATAAACATAGCCATTAATATATTATGATAGAAACAAAGATTTATGTACATATATTTATATGTTAAGTATTAAGGTAGCTTGCAAGTCTGGCTAGACCAGAGGATGTACACTGGTACAGATAGGAACCGGAAACACAGGGAATCCAAGGCAGATGATAGTGTCTGGAGTCTTAAAAGGTTTGAAGGTAAACAAGCAGCTCTCTAGCAGAGAAGCAACAAAACCCACATGGAAGAAGCACACCAACCCATGTGATCATGAGATGTGGACAAAAACCAGTATCAGGCAGCAGAAGATCCAAAACAAACAACTATTTCAATATGAATGAGAGGGGTCGGAATGCAGACCCAAAGCCCATCTTTGGACAATTGTACATCCCCTCACAGAAGGGTCACAAGGAAGGGACGAGCCGCCAGGGCGGAGTATAGCACCAACAAAACACACAATATTCCTCTAATCCAGGGGTCCTCAAACTTTTTAAACAGGGGCCAGTTCACTGTCCCTCAGACCCGTTGGAGGGCCGGACTATAGTTTTTAAAAAAAACTATGAACAAATTCCTATGCACACTGCACGTATCTTATTTTGAAGTGAAAAAACAAGCAGGGCAAAAACACCCAGCGGGCCTGATAAATGTCCTCGGTGGACCGCATGTGGCCCGCAGGCCGTAGTTTGAGGATGCCTGCTCTAATCCCTTAATGCTTCCTCCCCCACTATCAGGACC